GAGAGAGAGAGAGAGAGAGAGAGAGAGAGAGAGAGAGAGAGAGAGAAGAAAGAAACGCTGGATAGATTTAGCGAAATTATATTGTATTTCGTAGAATATTAAAACGAATTTGGGGGTGATTTGAAAGATTTGCGTTTCAAGACCGACGATAGTTCGGCGCGCAAATTAAAAGGAGGGGATGGATGTAATACATACATTACTATGGATAAAATATATTGCGAAGAATATTACTACGTCGACCCGCCATCAGAGGTCTATAGATATTTGCAAATTCTCGCAAATACTTTAATACGCGTATATCGCTTTATATAGAATCTCGATTGAATAACGATATATGAAGGACCGTTGGTATTCTAACACAAGTAAATAAAGGCCTAATAACGGTCAAGCAAGGATTTTGGATGCTAAAGGATAATGTGTGAATTTTATTTACCACGTATGTAGTTACTTTATCGCGTGCCGAAATTTTTCCAGACTTACAACTTTAATAAACTACCGTAGTAATATCACTTTAGTTAAATTGACAAGCAATCTAACAATTTTTGATGCTTACAGCATCTTATTGGATTTTAATAATATGTTGAAAGACATATTAAAATTTAACGATGTAAAGTTAAATTAATAATAACTCGATCCTTGCTTAACCGTCATTAGGCCTTTATTTACTTGTGTTCGATTGAATAACTCTTGCAGGTGTATAATAAGGTAGGCTTCCACTACAATGCCTTACTGACGAGTCCATTAGTGGAAGCTGGGACGAAACGCCATATTTAAGTAATATTCTTCGCAATATATTAAATTAATTTTTCTTCGTTTACCGATGATGGTGTTATTAAAGGCCGAATCATTTACTAATAATAATAAAAATTTCGTTTTAGTATTCTACGAAATACAATATAATTTCGCTAAATCTATTCAGCGTTCTCTTCGTGGTATATGCTCATTTTTAATTCCTTTATTGTTAATTTTTATTATCTTTTTAGTACCACATTTTATTATTGCCAATTATTTTTACGAACATGAGAAAATGTGGTACTAAAAAATTTTTTAAAAAATTGTCAGATCTTCTTAAGAAAAAAATCAACAATTTTGGTCGCTTGCTAATTTTCTGTAAAAATGAAAGGACTAGAATAAAAAAATGATAAACAATCAGTATTTAGCGATACTTAGTAATTAACATATTGTTAACTGTTACAAAAACTGTAAAATGGTAAAAAACTCCGTCTCAGTTCAATCCGCTCTACCAGTATATGATCGTTATCGGGCAGAATTATCGAACATCTTCTCTCTCTCTTTGCATAACGAACTATTTACAAAAAATAAATATTTAAAAGTTTAAGATAAATCGCAGTGCAGCATTGCATATGATGAAATAATATAACGCATTACTGTCTACGTATATTATATAAAAAGTATAAGATCATCATTTTGTTATCGCGCAATCGCCTTTATCTTTTCTACATAGTGCGATATTCTTGTTTAAATTGTATACTATTGCCTTTATAAATCGCAGTCTCATCTGTGCAATTGAACAAAAAGGAAGAACTGACAAGAGAGAGAGATACGCTAAATAAGAGAAAGTTGAAAAAATCGAAAGATTGAGAGAACAATGACGACAATGTTGGAATGGTGCGTCGGAATTGGGATCACCCTGTTGACCTTCCTCATCTACTTTGCATATTTCTTCAAATTCAACTGGGTGAAAGTAAATGATGATGAGCAACACTATTTTCTGTGTTTTTACTACAAATTGTGTTAAGATTATAACTTGATACTTTTTAAAGGACTTGAGAACTGAGACTAAAACGCGGCAGACCCGCAGCTTTTACGCGGGTAACAAACATCGAAAGGTGGGTAAACTACCGCCGGTTTATCCAAACGGATGGTTCGCTCTGCTTGAAAGCTCGCAGATAAAAAATGGTCAGGTGAAACACGTGTGTGCTCTCGGCGAAAATTTCGCGGTGTTCAGGTACGTCAGGGTATAGAATTTTCTATGATTATTTTTTCATACATTTTAAAATATATCATACTTTAAAATAAAATATATTGTATATTAATTATTTATCGCGTAACCGCGTAACGTTTTATCAATTTCTTTAAGAACCGAAAGAGGCGTTGTCAACATTTTAGACGCATATTGCCCGCATTTAGGGGCAAATATGGCCGAGGGTGGTCGTGTCAAGGGAGATTGTCTGGAGTGTCCTTTTCATAGCTGGACATTTCGCGGAAAGGATGGCTACTGCGAGAACATACCTTATGCTGAAAAGGGTATTAATCAAGTTCTACATAATTTTGAATCTTAGACGACATCTATCTACCCTTTTGCTATCGGGATCTATGACCAAAATGTTCGGATTGATTGTTTTTTATGGAACCACATTCCTGCGTACAGATGCCTGTTTGTGCATGTTAGCATACAACACAAATGTTTACGTCTAAATATCAGGTGTCAATTTAGGGACAAATTATTCACTATTCTTGATTATAATAGAAATATATATACAAATAATAGAAATATATGTATATACAAATGTACACTAAGAAATATTTCTCGATGTATGTTCTAGCTATATACAGGGTGTCATAAAAATTTCTTACCATCGCTTTTGTATAGATAGAGCGGACGCGCTTATTTTGCCTATATTTAAAAATTCATATCTCGTTAACCATTGCTAAAATTGTAATGTGGTACAGGACTTTTCGACACAGTTTAGTCCGCTCTATATCTATATAAAAGCGGCGGCAAGAAATTTTTGTGACAACCTGTATAATTGTTTATTTTTTACTTACAGTACCACATGTCGCTCGAGTGAAAGTTTGGAAGAGCTGCGAAGTGAATAACATTATCTTCGTCTGGTACCACTCTGAATCAGCTGAGCCAGACTGGCAACCCCAATCGCATACATACATCTCCAATAGGTCCTGGCGCTATCAAGGTCGCAATGAATATCTCATTAACTGTCACATACAGGTTTGTCGCGCATTCCATTCTATAATGCGATAGAAAGTATGCTTCATTACTCAAAAATTACTAGAAGACGATTAGAAAAAAAGAATTAAGTTTGCAATATCAGGAAACGCGATAGTGTCTCCGGCCATGTTCAAAAACTGTAACATTATAGATATATCGATCAAATAAATTAAATAAATTATTAGTTTATATATTTAAAAGTAATTTCGAGAATCATTTTTTAGAGTCATAAACAGAAGAAAAAAGTATTATATAGAAGATTATTCTTTTATTCTGCCAACTTTGAGAATCGCTTTTAAATAACTAATAAATTTGTGGACTTGTGCATTAGGAAATAGTTGAGAATGGATCTGATCCCGCGCATCTTACCTCGGTGCATGGTCCAGTTATGTTTCTCTCTGGCAACTTTTCCTGGTTAGCTCGGCATTTGTGGATCACCTACACAGGATGGCGACCGCATTGTTCACATGATAACCAAACGGACGAAGACGAAGAAGCAGCAAAGTCGTGCACTAAATTGAACAACATATCGCTCCACCCGATCGTGAATGGCAACGGAAATCGTCAATTTGCAATTTCACAGAATAGCTTCAGCAGTAAAGAGAACCACAAAGCCGGACTGCACATGTGCCACAAGTTGGTCCTTCTGGAACGTTTTAACGTAATGGAGATTGATGTACTCACTGAGCAGATTGGTCCTAGTTATGTCGAGCTAATTATCACCACATCGATCGGGCCTATGTGCATTCTGCAGACAGTAACGCCGATTGAGCCATTACTGCAACGAGTGACTCATCAGATCTATTCGCCACCTTTACTGGCGCCATACGCGAATTTAATTTTTCTAGGCGAGTGCGTGATGTTTGAGCGCGACATGAAGATCTGGAACTACAAGAGATATGAACGACAACCTACTCTGGTGCCCGAGGATCGAGGCATCCAAGCATTCCGCCGTTGGTTCTCGCAGTTCTACTCCGAGCACAGTCCCACCTATGAGACGGCCATGAAGGATCTACAATGGTAGCCTCCTTTTCGAAATGTAATTATTATATTTCTGTTACGTTTTATAGGTATTATTTTTATTATTGAAATAGATAATTTATGTATAACTTGTTTTTAAGCATAATGTACCTATGTTAATTATAATATAAATAGTTATGGTTGGTTTAAAACGAGATTAAATCTATTGTCAGAGTGTCCATACATATTTTTACTGTTGCTTTATATTTTCAATATATTTGCTATATGTACATATAAACTTCTATGACAGACGATAATGATGAATAAATAAGTCCGAATTTACAATAGATGTTTTAAGCCATAAGAAATTGAACAATTATAATTGATTACGAGAAGTAAATCAAATGTTGGTTGAATCGATAGTCTAGTATGATGAAACGTGGTATAAAAAAAATTAAAAATAAAATTCTTTATACGTGTCTAACAAATTAATTAACAAATTCGTTTTCTCTATGAATAATTCACCCGACTACACTGATGATGTATTTTTCACAATATCGTTTAATTGTATGTTAATAAGATAGCGATGACAATTACATTAGAAAAACTTAATTAGTAGTCAATCGTGTGGAGAGTTGATATGTAAGTCTAATCGTGATCAATAATCAATAATGATCCGAAATTTTTTTGTCACTAATTTAAAAAATTAATTAATAAAAGATTTAAACGATGTCAAAAATGTTGAGAACTACACGATTTGATCAACCGGAAACAACTGCGCAATATTATTATATTAATGTTCGTTGGTACTGCAAAGTCATATATTGTTCATAATCAGAGTGTTTATTCAATGAACTGTTGTATCTATTTAGTCTATATTTTTGGATCTAATGGAATCCGCTAATCAAATGCAAGAGCGCTCGATGAACGGTTGTAGTACTAAATGCATCTGATCACTGAGCCGTTGTTTTCTGAACGCAATCACGTAATCTATTTTGGATTAGTGCTTGAATTTATTTGCAATTTTTAGCCGAATATAAAAAAATCCTTTTTGACAAAAAAAACATTGTATATGTGTGCTTTCATATTCATATTCATGTTTATAGAAGAAGAAGAACTTTATTACCTTCAAGCATACAAAGCCTAAGAAGGGGGCTTGGTTTACAGTTTATCTATCTATCCTCACACATCCATCCATACTCTGCTCTCATGCATATTTCCTCTTTACCCTAGTTTACTCAACTAGCCTTCATTCATCTATTAGCATAATACGTTACAACCTTTCCTCTCTTACCTATTATCTATTTAATTTATCAATTCCTCCTTGCAAATTGCAAAAAATTACCTCTCTAGTCATTCTTGTATTCCTAACTCGTTTCCTTGCTTCACAATTCTATCCTTTTCTATTCCTTATTCTATTTTATTCTATTTCTCGTAGCTACTCTTTCGCTTTTAAATCCGTACATGAAGTCTATATTCATACCTATTCATCATATTCATGTTTATATACGTTTATATTACTTTAACGAAAAACGTTTTTGCCATACAATCTTCTTATCTTTTTGAATAAAATTGTATAACATGTAAATGTAAATCAGTTTTTTTTTAATTGTCCTAGGCTACATTGCTATGATGACTTCGTGTATCATCCTTGTTTAATACTAGATGAAAAATAAGGGTAAAGCAATACACGAAGGCAGTCGAGTAACGTTTCTGACTGCAGACCTAATGGTATCGATGTGCTACTAGTGAAAATTCCGATAAAAAAAAGTAACTCAAAAGTAACTTAAAAGTAATTTAAAGTTATTTTTTCAGTAACTGTAACGAATTGCTTTTCAGAGTCAATAACTTGTAATGGTAATTAATTACTTTTTGAAAGAAAAAAACTATAACTGTAATTAATTGCTTTTGCAAAGTAACTTTCCCATCCTTGTCTAAATAACTCGTGTGAAGCTGGCCCCCCAATATTAAAAAATCGATTTTTTTTCTTCATGCATTCGTTTGCTCATCGTTTGTTCACGAATGCTCAGTTGGAATTTTCGTTTGCTCACCCTTAGTTCAAAAGAATATACGAAAATTATATTTTGGGAGGTCAACTTCATACTAGCCTCCCCCCCCAAAAAAATTAAAAAATTGATTTTTTAATCTTGTCCTTAATATATTGTTACGGTCATGACCCTGAGACCTCCAACAAGTTTTAGCCATTGCTCGTCCTTCGTTAAAAAGTTATTAACAAAAAAATTTATAAAATAACATCTTATTTCAGCACATTTTATTCAATATTTAAAGCATCTACTGGATATATTATACACTCATAATTTCAAAAAAGAGTATCAATTCTTTCGTCAAAATCATACATTCTTTTAAACAAGAATTCAGCAAAATAATGTATATATATGTTATAAATGTTTTTCATGTGTTCCATAACGAGGAATGTTTGCTCGCATATCCCGCCATAGGGGAGACCGGGTCTATCGTTGGTAGAACTTTCACAATTTCAGCATTACGTCCTTTAAATAACTGATTGTTATAATTAAACTATACTAATATGATAGAAAAAACCTTTTTCTACATTTTGTAGCTAGAAACTATTTTGTATAACGTGCAGTTTCTTTGTATTAAGTGTATTCTTTGTATTAAATTTCTATTCTGCATGTCACATGTAATGTTTATGATTTGACTAGAAGTTTGACCAGAAGTTTTATTATAACTGACTGTGTGTATTATTAGAAAAGGGATTGAAATTGTTTCACTTTATCTCATTGCATTGAAGAGTTGACAACAAAGAGTTGAAATATTTGTTCAGGTGAATTTGTCAGGTTCTACGAACTTTATATTCTGATAATAATTATTATATTTCGATAGTAATAACGCCGCAATTTTCAATGGTAATTTGAATTGCAATATATGATTAATTCTTGGAGGCTAATAAATAATTTCTTTAATTAATTATATAGAAATTAAGTGTGAAAACACATGCATAGATCAATAAAAACTTGTTGTATATACATAGTATATACATATATCATAATATGTAACACCATACCAGTGTAAGTTATTCAATGATGACTGTATTTTATTCGTGTCAGCTAGATAAGTGAAAAAAATCATATCATAATAATGAAAAGTTCAAGTCATGCTCAAAAAAGGATACTCAAAACTTAAAAATTTAAACGTTTTTATCTAATAATAATATATTACCATGAAAAGTAACTGATGTATTATTAATTAAAGGTGCCAGTACAAAGTGAATACATAAAAAGTGTATGTAACTTTTGACCGATGTTTGAATCGCCTCTGCCTTCCGCTGTCTCCCTCACCTCACCGCGCGCCGTCCAAATACCGCACGACGCTCGAGCGACATTTGATCTGCGTATCCTGCTTATAGAAATAATCTTATTATTGTATGTTTTGTGGTCTAACAGCGTCATATTTTTTCTACTTTTACTTTTTGAAATAAAGTATGTGTTATGTATATACGCGTGGCAAAAAAATATATTCCTTTCACAATTAGCGCAATTTAAAGATTTCATTTCATTTTTTGTATACTGTAATAATGTATATATGTAACGGTTTTTTAACAGTGAGGCAAACACACATACTTCGCGCCTTTTTTCCCTTTTTTTTTAAAGAAGTAGAAAAGTAATTTTGTTGAGTATAAATTACAATAACATACAATATTATTATTATTACATAATATATAACATAATATCTTATTCTATACAAAAGTATTTAAATATTAATATAATAAACAATGAAAAAATAGTTTTAATTTATATTAAATTAAAATATTGAAAACAAACATTTTTTTAAATTCATAATTGTGAAAAAGTAATAAGATAATTAAAATATATACAAAATAATTCTGAAATATATAATATACATGTAAATAAATCAATACTTAATATATATGGACATCCTACATAACGCTCAACTATGTATCTAAACTAGAGGTGTGCGGGTACCCGAAAAATTCGGGTACCCGAGCCTCGGGTCGGGTCGGGTAATGATCGGATCGGGTCGGGCGGGTCCCGAATGTTAGGGTACCCGAATTTCGGGACCCGTTCGATCCGAAACTCTTGATTCGGGACCCGAAACTATTCGTGACCCGAAACTCTATTCGGAAATGTGGAACTCGATATTCGATTCGGGACAAAATTTTTCTGAATAATCTTAAATATTTAAGTTTGGAAACGTTTTCATATGTGTGTGTGTCGTAATTAAATATAGAGCAATATCAATATATTTCATGGAAAACCAAATTAGTTCCAATCAATTATGCCAGTTTCTTTGTATTTCATAAAAAATTTAAGGATTATTTAGTTCAAAACAAATTTATTTTAAATTGAAGTGTAGGAAACATAATTTTTCAACGTTTTCTGGTATTAATTTACTTCGTGTGGCTGTAACAATGTTACCAGCATCAGAAAACAATCTTTCGCTTGAGACTTGAGTTGCAGGAATAGCGAGATACTGTCTAGCTACTGCTGCTAATATCGGAAACCGGGTAACATTACATTTCCACCAATCAATTATATCGGTTGTTTTAGGTACCACATTTTCTGCACAGTACACCTTTATTTCTTTATGTGTGGAATATTCAAACGAGTTTGTTATTTCTTCCTCTTCTTGATCATCTAGAGCCTCGTGAAAAAACTTTGCTGACTTAGATTTCGGTTCACCTATATATATGTTCAACAAATCGAAATAAAATTAATTATTTTAATAAATGTAATTATGATTAGTCAATAAATTTGTTACACAATATGGAAAATATACCGTCATATTGACGTGTAGTAATTGATGTGCTATGCATATTAACAGTATCTAATAAATTTATATCATTTTCTAATAATAAAATGTTCTGCTTTAAACTGTCAATAGCTTCCGATCTTCGATTTCCTGCTGGCAAAAGACGATCTTTGAATCGTGGATCCAATAACATAGCATACATCAATGTTTTGCATTCTATAATAGGCTCAAAACGCATCTACAATGGAAATATTGCATGCCATATACATATTTTCTTTTTAGTTTCTGTTTCGGTACGAAAATAAACTCACCTTTAATGTGTTATATAAATTATTAGAAATTTCTTTAATTGTTCCCGGTAGAGAGTTATCAGATTGAAGAACATTTTTTAAACATATGTAAATGGGTAAATAGTGAGACAGAGTTGGATAAGTCTGCCCACTCATTAACTCTGTTGCTTCTTTAAATGGTTGTAGTACCTTAACAATAGCTTCCACAAACTTCCATTCTTCGTTATTTAAATTTTCCGGCATATTATCTTCATATAATGTAATACTCAAAGATTTTCGCAATAACACTAATCTGTGTAACATGTCGTATGTCGAATTCCACCGCGTGTTTACGTCTTGTATCAATTGTAGAGTAGCTTTTACAATATTACGACCATTATCCGTAACAAAGAAAACTGGTTTCGAATTAATTTCATTGTTTAATTTCCACTCACTCAAACACGTTAGTAATGCAGTTTGTATATATTGAGCCGTATGTGATTGCTTTAAATGACTTAAATTTAACATATAATGACAAACTTTAAAATCTTTAGTTATATAATGAAGCGTTAAAGATAAGTAGCGTTTCAAGACCGAAAATCCATCGGCGCGCAAATATTTAGGAGGGGGGATATTTCAGATTATTAGAGTTGCGTTGCAAGACCGAAAAATCTTTCGGCGCGCAACAATTAAGAAGAGGGGACATTTAAAAATCAGATTATTTGGGGGGACTATATATAATTAGAACGTTATTTCTCACTTTGGATAAATATTGCGAAGAATATTACTACGTCGACCCGCCATCAGAGGTCTTTCGATATTCGCAAATTCTCGCAAGTGCTGAGACACGCGTATATCTCTTTATATAGAATCTCGATTTAATAACTTACACCGGCGTCTAAGGTAGGCTTCCACTACAATACCTTACTGATGAGTCCAGTAGTGGAAGCCGGGACGAAACGCCAAACATTACGTGATATTCTTCGCAATATAGAATATTAGAATATATTATCAGATTTAGATTAACTCTTATTCGCCATTCTCAACGTATTAATTAAAGATAAGTAGCTTTTTAAGTTTCTGTAAGTTTAAAAATTTCTACATATAAAAAAAACTACGAACTGAAAAAATAAAAAACTTTTTTTTCACTTTGAAGTTCTCTCACGTATCTATAAAGAATTTGCAAAAAAAATGTTCTTAAAGAAAAATCTTTATTTCCGAGTAGAGTTTCGGGTCTCGAATAATTTCGAGTCCCGAATCAAGAATTTCGGTTCGGACGGGTCCCGAATATTCGGGTACCCGAACATTCGGGACCCGCCCGACCCGACCCGATTATTACCCGACCCGACCCGACCCGATTTTTCGGGTACCCGCACACCCCTAATCTAAACACAAGGCTGTCATCAGAGTTCCGAAGAACCACTCGACCGCGACGGACGCGTTTCGGATCGGGTGCTCGCTAATGTAAATTTTTGAAAGTGTTGCCGACTCTGACTGTGATTTGACTCACACAGATGTATGTCCGCGATTGGGCTTGACTCGCTCGTTCGTCCCGACGCGCGTTATTGCGGCGCGGGCGTAACGACGCCGTAGACGCAGGCACCCGGTGTTCGTTTGGGCCAGTTTGGGCTATGCCTATTTTCGTGGGGATTACATCACCTATTTTTTTTTTTTTTTACATTTATTGCATACCATTTCCTTTTGGTACAACTGGCCACGTTAATCCGGTTACGCTGGAACCTGATCCATCAAAATTGAAGAAACAGAAGACAATAAGGCTGTCATCGTTGGGTATGTGTGAATAGAAGCCTGTCTGTGAAGGCTTGTGCCACTGCATGCGCATATGTCAAAAGTTCAGCAATCTAAGATCACTGCTTCCACACAGCGCGATTTCCTTATATAAATCAATTCTCTCTTATATACATTGTATTCTCATTTGTGCAGTTGAACAAAGCGAGAACTCACGAGATACGTTAAATAAGAGAAAGTTGAAAAAAAATTCAAGATAATCGGACATTGAGAGAGAAATGGCAACAATGTTGGAATTGTGCGTCGGAATTGTGATTATCCTACTGACTATCTTCATATACTTTGCATATTTCTTCAAATTCAATTGGGTGAAAGTAAGTGATGACAAAGCAGCATTATTTTCCGTGTTTTTACTACAAAGTGTGCTCAGATTATAAGTTGAAACTTTTTGAAGGACTTGAGAACTGAGATTAAGACCCGTAGCTTTTACGCGAGTAACAAAATTCGAAAAGTAGGTAAAGAATTACCACCGGTCTATCCAAACGGATGGTTCGCTTTGCTTGAAAGTTCGCAGATAAAAAATGGTCGGGTGAAACACGTGTCTGCTCTCGGCGAAAATTTTGCAGTGTTCAGGTATGATATAAAATTTTGTTTATTTTTCTATATATTTTAAAACATCTATATAGATAAAACATCCTGCATATATGTTATGTAAATGTAACACTTTCACAATTTCTCTCTCTTTAAGAACCAAAAAAGGCGTTGTGAATATTTTAGACGCGTACTGTCCCCATTTAGGGGCAAATATGGCCGAGGGTGGCCGTGTCAAAGGAAACTGCCTAGAATGTCCCTTTCATAACTGGACATTTCGCGGAGAGGATGGCTACTGCGAGAACATACCTTATACTGCAAAAGGTATCAATTAAATTTTACATAATCTTAATTGAGTTTTAGACATATTTAACGAATAAATAAGTCGGGTAACGCTTATTAGTTGTGTGTATCGCACAAAATATATTAATTTAAAACACTGAGAGTTAAACAAATAACATATATAAACTATAAATAAGTAATACATTGAACTATGACGCTGAAGCTAGCAGGTGGGACTAGCAGACGGCCGCGCGCGCGCCGCTCTCGACCAGTGGTTGCGTCAACAAGGTTATTATTTCAGCGTATATTGCGCAAATAAAACCGTTCCAAACAGATTATTTCAAAAGAAATGTTATGTGTCACATGAAAACAGTCTTACAAAGTGATATTTCAAGTTCAACAAAAAACATACGATAAATAAATAGCATATATGATTTCCGAGACTTACATACTATATTCGAGAAATATGATAGATTTCGGAAATCCATTAATAACTTTTCTTCTAAGAGGGGCCTTTTCTTATAACTTTGCAAACACGTTCTACACAATATTAGGGGATTACCTGCACAGTTTAAAAAAAAGGCCCCTCTCAGGAAAAAAGTTATTAACAAATTAAGTCAGCAGATTGACGAAAACTCTCGTTCCTCGAAGATAATTTATTGTTA